AGACAATTTCAGAAAATTCTGAAATTTTCTGATTCCAGCTCCCGGCTTCCGACAATTTCAGAAAATTCTGAAATTTTTTGATTCCAGCTCCCGGCTTCAGAAAATTTCAGAAAATTGTTGATTCCAGCTCCCGGCTTCAGAACATTTCAGAAAATTCTGAAAATTTCTGATTCCAGCTCCAGGCTTCAGAACATTTCAGAAAATTCTGAAAATTTCTGATTCCAGCTTCCAGCTTCAGAACATTTTCCGAGTAGTCTGATATTTATTCCAAAATCAGAAAGCTTAATATTGCTCAACAAAGTTTCCATAAATTTCCTGTTTCCATCTCAGAATGTTATTGTTTTGTTTTTGAGATGGATTGATTCCAGCTACCGGATTCATATTTTCTGGATCTTGCTTTATGCGTTCTGTCGGGAATCAGAAAATTTTAGAGCAACGCCCACACACAGCACCCGGTCAAAGAACATAGGAAGATATGACATGTAGCCTGTTTGGCCTGCAATCAGAGACGCCTGCGCAAGCTTATGTAGACTTGTGTAGCCTGCAATCACATAACAATCTGATACGCATTGTTAGTGATAGCTACTGTTAGTCGAGAGGTGATTTGGTAATCGTGGCAACCACTCCAATGTGTGCAACGCAATTAGCTCGATGTGTGCAACGCAATTAGCTCAATTAGCTCGGTGTCGTGCCCACTCGTGGCAACACCTGTTGCCGTTGGCAGTGGGGAATTTGCGGTTTCTTCTTGCATGTGGCAGTTGGAGTCCGGTGCCAAATAGACAGGTGCCAAGTTCTTGCGAACCCTTCAACAATCCAAGTGGTTGGCGAATCTCTCGGCGCTCGTCTGCCCATGCATGGTGCTTCAAGCAGGCTGGCTCAGAATTGTTGAGGGTTTATGCAAAGCTTGTTCACGTTCTATCTTCGTGCAGCATAAGTCGGGAGTCGGGAATATTCAGGAAAACCTTTTCTGACCGGCACGTCTTGTTTTTGCATTGGGCTTCCAAACTTGAGCCCTGTTCAACCCTTGCTTCGTGGCACCATGGCGCCAAAGAGGCATCGACAAAAGAGGAAGCCGCCGAATCCCAAGAACAAGGCCCAGCCGAGTCAGCGCAAGCCCACCAAATCCAGGAAGAAGAAGGGAGCTGACGACATCAATCCCTTCACGGAGCCCCCACCACCAGGGCAGAAGCGATTAGACTCCAAGGTTCGGATCGCTGAGCCATCAGCTGACTCTTAGCCCTTTAGCGCGTTGTTGAGGTGAGGGTTCTAGTTTCTTACATGCTTGGATGAGAGTAGGCAAAGTGCCCAGGATCTGGCCCCAGAGAAGTCACCCCCTTCAGCATCCAAGACGCCTACCAGTTCCAAAGCGCCCAAGCAGAAAAGCATGAGGCCCGACCCCCTTTGTTTTGATCTGGCGTGCCTAGACTCAAGCATTTTCCAGGCGACCAGCAGCCAAGCGACCAGCGGCGGCTCCAACTACTCTTGCCGAGGCAGACGACGCCGCCTCAGATGCCACCACTTTAGCCTTGGACGGCACGAAGCTATCTCATCCGGGGCAGGATGCTGATGTGGTCACTCTTAGCCAGTCGAACTTGAGCTGCTTCGGTGACCTAGAGAACGACGATGACATGTTTCATACAACCCCAGGACAGGGCAAACCTGCATGTTGAGACAGCTTCCGAAACGCAGTTGCGTAGGCGGGGAAGGGGGGAAGGGCTTGAGTTGAGACTTGTTCAAGGTGGTCGTCAGGGTCGCTTCAGAGTGGAGCAGCCTCAAGTGATTTGGCAATTGCGTCGCAGTCGTTTGCATGGTCAATGATTCTGTTTGAATGAATAAACCGTGCTTGTTTGACCATGACCAAGTCCAGCTGCCCATTCATGCTTGGCTTGGATTGAAACCGTTGCCGCTACTTAAAACCCACCCTGCAACCAGGAGCTGCCTCAGCAGCTGGACTTTCTCCTCCCACAGATGTTACCGACTTCGAGAGCTTGTGGTCACACGCGCAGCGAAACGTGGACCGGATCATGTTGCATTTCGGCGATGGTGCGGTGCGCAATTTGGCCGAAAACCTTGGTCGGACAGTGGTGATCTCGCTGTACAGCGGCCTGGGCGGCGCAGAGGAGGGTTTCGAGGGCTTGCTCAGCAGTGCGGGAAGTAGCCAGTGTTCTGAACTGCAGAGGCTAAATTTCCAATGATTGCGATATCCTCACACACAAGTTTCAAACATCAATCTTCACCTTTTGTTTTGAACGAGCGTGAAGGTGATTGCCACTAACCAACCATCATCATGTTTGCTTCGTGCACCAAAACCTGCCCCCTTGCCCTGTAGTTGGCGACCCTCACCAACTACCTTGCAGTTGCGAACGTTTGCAAGATGCGGGGCTGGCCCGTACCACCGAAGCCGGTGCTACTCCTGGCTTGTGACGCTGACATCCACTGCCAGAGGGTGTTACAGCAACACGAGGAGATGTTGTCAAAACCAATGTGTGGCAAGAAAGATCGTTTGGTGCATGCCAATTTTGCTTGATTAGGGTGATTCAGCCGCCCAAATGGACTACCGTGCTTCACACTTCAAACCCAGCCTGTTGCAGGATGCCCCGGTCTACTTGGTGCCGGACTTGAAAAACTTCATCTCCCCGGAATGCTTGGAGGAGGCAGAGCGCTTGCAAGGGAAGCTCCTTGCAGAGCACCCGAACGTTAAGGAAATGAGTGTTGCACAGCGGGAGCAGCTGGGCCTAGAGTACGTGGACGAGGTTGTGAACATGTTTATCAGATGCAAGGCTGTGAATCAGGAGATTTTGTGCTTGGGTGGAAAGCGGGTAGCTCGTCCTGGTTTCTTTGCCTTACATTTTGGGACTGAGCCAAGTCGAAAAGTAAGAGGCACATCTTTTGCTACATTTCGTGTAGGTGTTTTCTGGAAAGTTGGGGGTCACCATCTGGCACCCTTGAAAACTTGACGAGGGTGCCAGATTTTGCTGCGCTCACCAGCAACACCCCCAGCAAGCTACGTGTGACCTGAAAGAGGGGCCCATGTATATGTTCAAATTTGTTTGAGATGTTTAGCAGGTTTCGCCTTCACATTCCGTGTCATCCAAGGTCCAACTGGACGTGCTGAAGAGTTACGTGGCTGCAGCTGATACCATCGTGAGCGTCATCGCTGGAAGCATTTGTAAGGACTTTTCGAGTATGGGCGATGGCGCCCGCTTGGTTGGAAAACACGTTACTCCGCCTATTTAGGTTCTGACTTGCAAGTGTCCGTTGTCCGTTGTGATTGTTCGGTTTTGAATTTGGACTGTGTGAGTGAGTTTGTGTTTTGTTTCCCAACCAACAGACCAACATCCATCAGTTGTTGACTGCTCTTTAGCGAGGCCGGCCAGGCAAAAAGGACCTATTCTCTTTTGAAGCCCTGGGGCATTTCAAAAATGGCTCTTGGGAATGAGTTGGAATCCAAAGGTCTTGGCACGCCCAATAGTTTTTGAGTTGTTGAGACACGTTTGGGGCATTTCGAAAACGGTGCTTGGAACAGAGTGCCAATTCAGGCGATTTTGTTCTGTATCCTCGTGGCTGTGGTCCGCGAACTACGGCCCCACGCATTTCTGCACGAGTGCACGCGGCTGTTCCCAGGAGTGGCGTACTTCACCGCGCTCCTGCCGGAGTACAAGTTGCACCACTTGGGGGTTGATCCCCGAGACCACGGATGTCCTGCCCGCCGGAGTCGCAACTATGACGTATGTGTGCGCCCTGACATGTGCCTGGCCGGCGATGGCATGGTCAGCTTCCACCGTTTGTTCGCCAGCTGCAAGCTGGATGTCAGTGTGTTTCTGCAGGGGGGCAAGGACGAGGCAGGGCCCGAAAGTGGCATCAGTGCTTCAGCATTTTAATTGCAGCGGTGTCCTTTTTTCCTGTGTTGATGCGGGAGGTGGAAGAAATTCGTGATCTGATGGCCAAGAACGGCTTCAAGTCGCGTCGCTGCGGGTTCCAGGAGCTCTTGACTTCCGCTGCAAAGGTGTGGGGCTACAGAAATATGCCCTGAACTTTTTGTTTTTGGTGGCAGGGTTAGCCTAGGTCTGGTTAATTTGTTAGTCAATGCGCAGCGAGTCGCAAGTGCCATGTGCAGGTGCATTTGGATACGGCTCGGCGGGACTCAGAGATTGCAAGGCTCCTGAAGAGCCACACTGAGGTGGCCATCAACCTCGACCAAGACCCGTTGATACAGCCACACATGGGCAGCCATATGCCGGTACAGCTTGCGAGCCAGTCGTGCATGTACGCCATCCTCAGAGATCGACCCTTCACATGCCTGGAATCTTGGAGCACTTTTTGGTTTTGCTTGTTGTTGCCAACGGTGTTGATTGCTGCGGAAGCTTTCCCTCTTTTGACCCTTCCGTGTTCATTGTTTTCTTGGCCAACTGCTGCTCAGGAACTTGCATGCGCGCAGATGATCCCTGTGTACCCTTCATGCTGGAAAGCCCTCGGCTTCAGCGGCCGGTCAGCTTTGAAGGTGTGCCCCCTCAGGCGATCCGCCGTATGAGTGGGAACACGTTTCACCAGTCATGCTTTGTGGCCTGGCAAGCGTTTTTGCTGATGAGGCTGCAGCGACGGGAGTAGTTACCAGATCAGCCAGTTCAATCTGGTCTGCGTTTGCAGTGTTTGAGATGGAGTGTTTTGTTGGAAGAGTAAACTGGTTTTGTCAGACAGCATCAGAGGGTGTCTTGTTGCGCTCATTGCAAGCTAGATGCGGCAGGCGGCAGTGTGACCGCGTTTTGTGCAAGCGCGAATGGCCTTCGTTGGCTATCAACAATTGAGCAGCATGTGGTGTAGCAGTGAAAAATCAGATCGCTTGTTGCGTTCTGTGTTGGTCTTGTTTCGAACGATGATCGCTTTGGTTTGGGCTCGGCTGCTGTTCTTTGACTTTGTGCGCAAGGGTTGGGCTTCAAAGGGACGCCACGCGGGCTGTTTTCCACCAACTCCCCATAGATTGCTTGTCAAGCCAGTTTGACATGGGTAGTGGCGTGGGCTCACGCATGTAGCATCATGCTGGTCATAACCCGACCTTCTTGATTTGGCTGCAAGAGCGCGTGGTGGAATGGTGGATGCAGGACGCAGGATGCAGGTCATGACCGGACTCACGTGACAGAACAAGACTTTGCTTGTGCCCGGAGCATTGCTAGTGCATCCTGCGAGCCAAGAAGCCATGGAGGATGATCAGGCGCTGTGTGTCGGCTGCGAGCAGCCCTTGGTTGAGGAAGATGGGGCCAACGCAGAGAAGGATAAGCAGAAGAAAGCCGTGAAGGCAGGACAAGGGCTTTGGCCGGTCAAACGCCAGAATTCCAGCGTCCTGCTTTGGTGTTGTGTGTGCGACGTTTGCACGCATCTTGTGTTCCCACTGCCCTAAACCATTCCTTGCCTACATTGCTGGGGGTCAAACAGGGGAATAAGATGAGTCATTGGTGTTGTGTGTGCGACGTTTGCACGCATCTTGTGTTCCCACTGCCCTAAACCATTCCTTGCCTACATTGCTGGGGGGACAGGGGAATAAGATGAGTCATGCAAGGTGCGCGGGCTGTGCCAGAAATGCGCGCTCAAGCACCGGGCGCTCTGCGCAAAGAGCGGGGACCAGGAAGTTCTTCAGTGGTTCAACACCTTGAAGGATTCCGACGGCCCTGAGTACCGGAAGGTTCTCGCTGCAGCTGAGCCCCATCCGGGGCAGCGCTACTCGAAGTTCAACCTGACCTCGTACCGGGAGGAGAAAACTCAGAAGAAACAGAGAGGAGAGCGTGAGGAAGAGGAGGCGATGTCCTGGACCAGGTACCTTGCGTTCCACACAGAGGACCTGGCCTTGCCAGACCGCATGTCCGCATCCGAGGCGCGGGCGGCGTGGTTGAGGGACCCCAAGGAGAGGATACCAGTGTTCGTCCGGAAGCTGAACCGGTGGGAAGAGCGGGACCACGTCTGGGTGGCGACGAAGGGGCGCAAGCGCTGGAAGGCCAAGCTGGACGAAGACTCTCGGACCGCCTGTCGCGCCCACCAATCCCAGACTGGCTCTGAGCAGGCTGCTGCCTCGGTGCTGGGTAGACTGGGGAACTTCGTCACCTTCGGAGGCGCTGTTCTTCATACCCAGAGGGTTGAAACTTACCCTTCATTGTTTGTTCAATACTCAACCACGTCTGATTCTGGCACATGATTCCTGTATTTACCTGCTTGTTTGTTCATTGTCAGGGGCAAACGCCGGTCCCCCCTCCATTTTCCCCGTGGTTTTTTTACACGTGCGCTCGTGTGCTAGTTAGTTCACGTTTTTTCTGTTTGTTCTTATTGAGCTGAGCTTGTGGTCGTGATCTGTTTTAAATAAGTCTTCTCAGTGGTTTTTCATGCGGTCGTTGTTCATGTGTGCGTGGGGCGAGTTCTGGACTGCCCAGAACCAGAAGGCAGCATTTCAAAGTTGTTGCGCGGCCGTTTTGGGTTGTATAACGATATCGTTTCTCGAGGGAAGCCAAGCGCTGCCACTGTCAGCGTCGGAAGACAGGCAAAATGGAAAACTTGTTTCCGCTGGAATCGCAATCACTCGAGTCGAAATCACGTGTTTGCATCTTTGTTTGGGGGAATTTGCTGGATCATGTGTTGGTTTGTTCATGTGAGCGAGATGGGTTTCAGGAGGGGATATTTCTGACTTTGACTTTGGTCACTGAAACAGATTGCTGATCAGATGACAATGACGACTTCTTCAAGTCTTGGCTGGCCGGCTTTGGGGCTGATGACAGCCAGTTCGTTGCTGCGGGCCATCAGGATAGCGCGGCAAACAAAGGCCGCAACAAGACACGGAACCTGGACCAACAATTTAGCAGACTTGTTGCCGTGGCTGCAGAGCTGTGTTTTTTTTGTTTGGTTTGTACGAAGGCCCTTGTGACATTGTGTGTGTGTGAACATTTTCTTCTTCTCATGCACACGCGGACGCATGCAGTGATTGATCAGGAGCTCAAAGGCTGCGGGCAAGGAAGCCAAGCTGGTCGACGTGAACTTCCTCCGCACGCAAGCGCTCTCCAAGCTGGTAAGCCAGGTGAAGTTTGTCACAGCCGCCCACTTGGACGCTGAGGCCAAGGCTACTTCTTTCCTGGAAAGCAACAAGGACATGTTTGCTCATGAAACGCCCAACTCAAGTTTCAACACACTATGTTTAATATGTTCACATTTGGCCGAAAGTGCCTTTGAAGAAGCAAAGCGCTTGAGGAGCTTCACGACACCTTCAAGCAGCTGAGCGGCAAGGGGGTTGACGAGAGCCGGATCCTCTCCGACCAGACGCTGGGCTTGGACGACATGGCCGGGACGGTGAAGTGCATGTATGCCCTTGACCGGCGCTTGCGGGCGGTGCAGATCCTGAAGATGACAGACACTTGGCATTTTGCAGACTGCAGATGTGGCTTCCATGCGTGTTATGCTTGAGTTGTTGGTGTTGCGCTACCGTATTTCCATCACCCCGGCACCGGTAGGTAACACTTCCTTTTGATGCCACCGAGCATGCCTAGTACCTTGCCCCGGATAAAAGTGTGTTGAGTTTTGCCATATTGAAACGCCTAGTAGACAAAAGGGGTCGGACCACTCGCCTTGCCACTCAGGAGCCCGAATCGGTGGAGCAGATGTCGGAGAAGTTTGCAGAGCTGTGCAACGAGGACGGCTACTTGCAAGAGAACGCCTCCAAGGCGGCCACTGTCGCCTTCTTGCAGTGGCTTGGATTCAACCCCGCCGGGGCAGGGAGGGGAAGTTTGTTTTTCTGTGCTGCACACGGGCCCCTTGAGGAAGACCGACCACTTTGACGATTGCATGGTGAAGGACCAGGTGGATGGGCGTCTCAAGGACTGGCACCGTGTTTTGCTTTGCAAGTCTTCTAGATGTGCTTGTTCGAAACCGGTTTGTTTGATGTTTCTGCTTAAATTGTCCACTGTCCACTGCCACAGGTGTGCAGATTGCATAATGGGTCGGGCCTGAGATAGAAACGCTGGCGAGGAGATTCTTGAAAAGGCCACAGCGGCCAAGACGGTGGCACAATCCTTGCGGAGGGCAATCAAAGACATTCAGAACATGACGAAGGCGTGTCTTCTGACTCTTGAGCCAATGTTTGAATTTCAACTTTCGGGTGTGTGCATGTTTGAATCGTAGCCGTTTGCTACCGTTTGACAGTTTGACAAACAAGCCAGGCGCTGCAGAAGGCGCGCGCAGCTTTCGAGGCTAAGCGAAAGGAGCTCGAGAACAGTTCGGCTAACGGCACGCTGACTCTTGCAGCGAACTGGTGTCGCCTTTTCTGATTTCTGACATTAAGCTGTTTGGCAAGATGATGTTGGGAACAGCCTGTTAGCAGCCAGTTGTGCAAATTTGTTTCTCCAATCAGAAGCAGCAGAGGTAGGAAAGGGTTTGGGGCTGGGGTACCACGGGTTTCGTGATACGTGAGATTCCACCGGTTTGTTAATTTATTTCCCCGACTGTTTGCATGTTGTTCTGGGCAGCGACGTAAGGAACGGGCGCACCAACTTCGCCAAGTGCATTTCCGACTCGGACCCCTTGGTCCTCCGTTGCTTCAAAGGACTGGCTGGGCTTCGCCCTATGAAGGTCATCACGGCGAAGTCCCCGGCGCTGGAAGAGGGAGCACTTTCCTTCAACCAGGCATTGATCATCAGGAAGGGCCGCCACAGCTTTCAGACCATCACGAAGGACTTCAAAGAAGAGATGGAGGCCTCTGTCAATGAGTTCAAGGAGAGGCTCAGTCGGCAAGCGGATGCCAGATCTGCGACACTCAAGCGGCAAGTCTTAGTAGTTCTGGCTCAGTTTCTTGATTTTGCAGAGTGATGGGGGTAATTGGGCGGGTTCGTTGCTTAGTTGTGTGTTTTGGTTAAATCTTTTAACACGTCCGTTGTGGTTGTTGGAAAGAGCGCGAAACTGAGGGCTCGCATCTCGAACGATGACGCCAATGCGGCGATGCGGGACCGCTTCCACACCGTGATGCCCCTGCCCTGGCAAGAGAATGCCACGGATCACAATGAGCTTGGTAGCCAGGTGCTGGCCAAGGGCCAGCTTGAGACGCAGCAGATGATGCAGGGCCGCAGGGACACGGGTTGTGCAGTTCAATCTTTTCAGCCGTTCTTGCCAGCAAACCATGTCCCCAAATGCTGTTGCATAACATTTCCCAACACGCTGGCCGTCATGCTTCGCTCCTGAAGGACTTCGATGCCGTTTGGCTTGTCGGCCAGAAGGACAAGGCGGTGCACGCCGGGCTGGAGGCATCCGGCGTGGGCAACATTCGCCTGTGCGCAGCTCGCCTTATTCCAGCGAGTTTTCAATGTCGGCCTCACAAGCCTTGATGATCGGCGCAGTGAATCAATTTCATTTCTTTGACTACACCTTGTTGTGTTCATGGGTTTTGTCACTGTCACAGTGAGTGGTTCCACTGGCCTGGGTGCTTGGGTTCTTCACTTTGCTTCTATGGCCTTTTGATTGTGACCTTGAATGCTCCCAGGTGTATGGAGGCCTTCTGGTGGTCACGGCTGATCTGGCGGAGTGCGCGGCTTACTTCGGGACTCAGAGCATTCCAGACATCAAGGAGGCGCTTCTCGCTACAGAGCTGCACTCAGTTCCGGACGGCCTTTCGCTGCCCAGCCTCAGCGCTGGGTATGTGAAGACCGGGGACTTCCTCGCCATGCCCATGGGCACCGTCGTCGTCTCGAAGAGCATCAACGGCGACCACGTCGGGTTGAGGAGAAACTGGCGTGGTTGCTGTCAAACTCGTTTTGGAGTTTCTGACCGCAAACATTGAAATGATTGCGTTAACTATCGTTTCCCGCAGGATGCAGGCGACGGTGTTCCCGGAGAACGCTCTCAGAGCCTTCCGTGCGATGGTTGCCGAGCAGGCAAGGGGCCTGACATCACATGCTTTGGCCGCAGACCAATCCGGCCTCCCAGAAGACAAAACCATCTCATGGCTGTGATGTCAATGCAGGACGTGAGTTGTTGCTTAGTTTTTTTTAGTGTCGGTCGCAGGGATTACCGCCATATGTTTGTGATGGTTCCTTGTGCTCTCGATTGGCCGGCCCATGAGGTGGTCTCCAAGCCGATGATGCTCTACGCTATGGAGGCGGCGCCCGAGGTTGCGAAAGCTGCCTTGGAGGACGCCGAGCAAGCTGTGGGCGAGGACGGGACCTCGGACGTCGACCCCTTCGAAGCCGAGCTGAGCGAGATGCTGGATTCCCAGAAGGCTGGCCACTGTTTGTCATGCGCCTGCCAAACTTGATAGTCATAATCGCCCTAAATACACGATCCATTTGGTTCAACCGCGGCATCAGTTGTTTGGTTTGTTGGTTGATTGAAAGTTGGTTGAAAATTGGCTTGGTTGAAAGTTGAAAGTACGTTGGCCGGTTGGTTGGTTCGTCGGTTGGTCGGTTGGTGGTTTGTTTGTGTTTGTTTGATTGATTGGTAGGATGGTTGGTTGGACAAGTTGGTTGGTTGGTTGGTCGATTGAAAGTTGGTGGGTTGAAAGTTTGTTGGTTGAATTTTGGTTGCAAGTTGGTTGCAAGTTGGTTGGTTGGTTGGTTGATTGGCAGTTTTTTCGACACGCGTTTTCCGGTGACTGACCAACCTGGGCCAAAGTCCCTGCAGCACACACCAGCAGCTGCGCAGACCCCGGGCGTGCTGGAGCCACCAGCCGAGACAGTGCCGGCGGAAGACGCAGGGTCCGCTGACCAGCCTGGACAAAAGCCCACGCAGCCACAGCGTGCGCCAGCTCTGCAGCAGCCAGTCGACAAGCCTGTGCCAGCTGACAGTGCAGGGTCCGGTGACCAGTCTGGGCAAACGCCCCTGCAGCCTCCAGCCGAGATGCCCGCAGGGTCCGGTGAACAGTCTGGGCAAGCGCCCCTGCAGCCTCCAGCCGAGATGCCCGCAGGGTCCGGTGAACAGTCTGGGCAAGCGCCCCTGCAGCCTCCAGCCGAGATGCCCATGCAGGTTGACGCAGGGTCCGGTGAACAGTCTGGGCAAACGCCCCTGCAGCCGCCAGCCGAGATGCCCATGCAGGTTGACGCAGGAACGCCCCTGCAGCCTCCAGCCGAGATGCCCATGCAGGTTGACGCAGGAACGCCCCTGCCAGCCGAGATGCCCATGCAGGTTGACGCAGGAACGCCCCTGCAGCCTCCAGCCGAGATGCCCATGCAGGTTGACGCCGTGTCCGGTGACCAGTCTGGGCAACCGCCCCTGCAGCCTGCGCCAGAACCCGCAGTTGAGACGCCCATGCAGGTTGACGCAGGGTCTGGTGACCAGCAGACGTTTGGAGGGTCCAGTGACCAGCCTGAGCCACAGCCCTTGCAGGCTGCACCCACACGTGTCGAAGGGCCCGTGAGCTCTGGCAATTCCTGGGAGCCAGCAGCTGTGCAGACACTGGCTGTTCAAGAGCAGCAAGACTTGCAGCAGCATCTGGCGGTGGAGGTCGGGACCAACGTGCCTACTGTGGAGCCCCCCCTACCGAAGGCACCGGCACCGGTGCCGATTGAGGCAGTCGCAGCTGATGTCGCAGCGACGCACGCAGCACGGCCGGCCCCAGCCCCAAAGGCAAAGTCGGCCGTGCGAAAACGGGCGGCGCAGCAGAAGGTTGCGGAGGGTCAGCAAAGCCTGTCGGCCCTTTTCCAGCAGGACTGTGAAGTTGAAAACATGTGACGGTTCAGAAGCATGTTTGTGGATTTTGTTTTGCAAGCTGTTGTTTCTGGTTGCTTTGAGTCCATGGTTTTGGTTTTGGGTCCAATGTCCAATGGTCCAGGGAATAGGGAAGTTGTTCTTGTTTGGTCGCTCTTGGATTGCACACCCGCCAGGAGCAGAAGAAGCGCAAAGGAGACAAGTGAATCCAGCCTGTCGGCCCTTTTCCAGCAGGACTGTGAAGTTGAAAACATGTGACGGTTCAGAAGCATGTTTGTGGATTTTGTTTTGCAAGCTGTTTTTTTTTGGTTGCTTTGAGTCCATGGTTTTGGTTTTGGGTCCAATGTCCAATGGTCCAGGGAATAGGGAAGTTGTTCTTGTTTGGTTGCTCTTGGATTGCACACCCGCCAGGAGCAGAAGAAGCGCAAAGGAGACAAGTGAATCCGGCCTTGAAATTTGGCCTTGACCGGGGTTTTCTCGAGCTAGCCGAAGGCGTTGGCTCGATTGCGGTTTTGGGCACGGGGACCATGTCATTCTGTGCCCGACGGCCTACCAGCACAGGGAGAGAGACACACGCAAAATCACATTGTTTGCAGGCCAGTCGTGGCATGGTGTGGCAGGATCGCCCGTGGTGAATTATTCATGCAGCAAGGATCGACGCAGATCTGGGTAAAGAGTGGCTGCTGCCGAATCACCGCCACCATGTTGAGTATGTTTGGGTAGTCTCATCCATCGGACCCAAACTTGCAAGAAGTGTGCGCGGCCTGTGTTTTTGAAAAGGGAGATGCTATACACACTTGTTGGGTCCAATTTTTTCAGGGAATCAGAAAACACACTTGTTGGGTCCAAAACCACCCCACTCACGCAAGTCCTTACTGGGCTGCCCTCAGATCCCCCGCTAAAAGTTTAACTTTTAGTGGGTTAAGTGGAAACTACCACTAAACACTAAAAGCTAAGAGGCTAACGGGATGGCTGGGAGCCACCAAGAAAACAGCACCATTCAAACAAACACTCTCCCAACTGGACGCCTTGAGCGCCTAACAATTGGCACGCCGGCGCCTGCCAGCACGGAGGACACGCCACCGCTGAGGTGCACGATCCGGTCGTTGCCCGTGTCCTCGTGAAGGAAGGACATGGCTGCGAAAAATCTGAGAGACAGGACTAGATGGCCGTGGCTCAAAAAAACTGTACCAAAATGGCACTTTGGTAAGTGGAAACATGGACCAACACCTACGTAACCTCTCTTTTTAGTTTTGAGCCAAACCCAAATATAATAACCATGGTTCCAAGGGTGCTAAACACAGCTATTCCACTAAATACTATGGCAGAAAGATTCCCACCCCACTGATCCCCAGACCAAATCCCAAAGAAGAAATATGACAGTTAAGCCATAGTTCGAGCTTATTTACCCCTAATGTAACCTTAATGTTTGGCTTATCCTCATGTTGCAGGGGGCTGGTGGTACAACCTTTGAATGGTTAAGTTATACCCTATACCCAGTGCTTCCAGTTGCAGTAGAGTTGGCCGCCTCCAGGTTTGACATGGAAAAAACTCTGGGCAACTGTAACTGGAAGCATCTGTCCTTGTGCTGGGCTGGTCAACTCAATTCACCGCCAACAAAGTGCTGTTTGGGAACCAATCGTTTTCCGAGACACGGTCATCTGCAGCAATTCCAGCGACGTGAGCCATGAAATTTCTAAAGGACCTTTTGAGTCGCCATATTTAAGCTATAGTGCAGTGCGGATTACTGCATTCTTTTGTTTGGAGTTTCCTTGCGACTGTCATGGTCCTTTAAGCTAGCCCATGTGGCAAATGGAAACCCTGATCAAAGTGGTTGTCGATTCCCAACCCCATGATGCCTCGTCCAACAGGGGATTCCTCGTGGTTGATGTTTGCCGCTTTATTGTGCGATGAAGTGGGATCTTCCATCCACGCATGACAACTCCAACCTTAGCCCACTCAAGGGCACGACTTTTTGATGCTGGCATCAATAAGTTGGAGAAAAGCTCTCACGGGCTTTGAGGGGCTTGGCGGTGTTCCATTAGTTGGGGACCACCTTGCCCACCTTGGGTCATCTGCGGTCAAATAAGCAAAGGCTTGTGCCCCTGGATCATGACACAACTGATGAAGCCATCCTGTTCAGGAAACAATCAAAACCAGGGAACATGTGGGTGGGTCGTTTCTTGAGGGTACCCCTTGTTTGGTGATTTTAAAGGAAACCAACAGGAAAACCACCAATCTTCACAGCGCCCCTACAAGCCAGACACACCCATATGTAGTGTTTAAAGAGAATAACAAGTTCTGAAAGGTTCGCACCGGACAAAAACCAGTAAATACTACGCCACAACTCAAACATCTATCTGCACACGAACCAGGCCGAACTGAACTAAGTCTAAACCAGGTGTAGTGCGTTCTGCGCAACGACTCAATCAACACTAGACTTAATGCAATACATAACCCCAAAAGATAGCAGAACTAGTTCAATTACTTCCGGAACAAAATCGGATCTGATCTCAACTTGGCTCTAAGGTTTTCTCTCCCTTGAACAAGTCGCATTCTCAAAGGGCGGCTCTTTTAGAACTTCAGTCGCATTTTTACGGGGGTCAACATCGAGCAAAACAAAAACACGGGCAGGAGTGATATCTACACCAAGTAGGATTCCCAATGTGGAAATGTGAGCAGCGACCAAAACACATTGACTTTTGGTTCTGCTGCTAGGTCCTCCAGAAGAGAGGTTGGAATAAGGGTACCCTTTTTTCTGTAGTCCATTTTAGTAGGGGAACCCTCCGAACCAAAACAGGGGTAGAGAAGGGCACCTAGCTGGGGGACCTAGACTGACAACAGGCCACCCAAAGGAAATTCTCAAAGGGTCAATCAAGCCGATGTGTTTTGTTCAACACCCGAAAAGGGACCCCTTTTTGAACCCGAAACCCGAAACGCGTAAGTGATCCCATGGCTTTCATTCCACATCCACTCGTTTGGGCTGAGGCCCAAGATACCCAGTCTTTAGGCACCGGCACAGAGCCGAGGGATCCCAATCGCGCACATGGCCTCACTTCCTGACTAGATTGGCAAAACAAAAAAATCCAAGCTCTTTGTCCTGGACAAACGAACTTCCGCGGGGATGCGGAGGGAGCAGGGATATGGGGAGCCTTATCAAACTTAGTCAAGGTGCATTTAGGGGGAATCCTCCCGTATCCCCGGTTCCCCCTGTATCCCTGCTAGTTGGTTTCCCTGATATTGTTTACCACTAAAATGGTGTTCCCCAAAAGTTTGAAGTCCATGAACTCAGGAACCTCGGCGTGGATCGGCTTTTCGATCCGAGGTGCCGCAATGTAAAGGTCCCCGCTGGAAGCCACAAACATCCCAAAAGGTTCGAGCAGCTGAGCAGCACCTGCGCCGGCTGAAAAATGTCCAAATTAAGGGTGAGGTGTTGTCCAAATGGGAGTCTTTGTTTCATGTTGTTTCCATTTAACAAGGGGCCGTGTGGAAGAATTCCAGTTGTTAAGCTACAGCCACGGCCATCTTTTGAACGGGGGCGGACCAAACACCAAAGGGCCCGCCGATGGGTTGACATCTGTTGGATTCGGAGTTTCCAGATGAAACGCAGGTGACACACAAAGACACGAGCAAACCAACAACAAACCATATGCCAACCAAACAAGCAACAAACAAAACAGGGCAAAGCAAGAAACAAAGACATAAAGAAATGAAGGATATAAATGAAGGAACCAAGGAAACAAGGAAACAAGGAAGGAAGGAAGGAAGGAAGGAAGGAAGGAAGATAAATAAAGAACGAACAACAAGGAAATAAATAAATCAAGACAACAAGGAAGAAGTAAAGTGAAGGAAAGAAAGGAAGAAAGAACGAAAACAAAAAGACATAAATAAATAAACAAAGCAAGAAAGACCTAGCGACAGAAATAACAAAATAACAACATAAGTACAACCAGACAAAAAAAAAACATTGGCAAAGGAAGACATATACAAAACATAACAAACAAAGATGTACAAACAAACAAGCACACAAAAAGGCAATCACATGGCTGGCCATTTCCAAACACGCATACGTACATATATATATATATGGTACCCCCCCCCCAAAAAAAAAAAAAAAAAACATGTTTGCAGAAATCACTGGTATTTCGAGTGAATTTAGCCTTTTTTGGGGGTCTGAAAAAGACGTCAAAAACGGGCAGTTCCAAGGGCAATTACTCTGGACGTTTCATGTATTGTAAGCAGCGCGCAATATTACTTGCAGTTGGATCCATTGCGTTCCTCGTCCTCTCCAAATGAACAATCGACTATCACGAGTATTGTCCACTGCTCATATGAGTATGTCTCAAAATATGATACCAAAGGGTATGTCTCATATGGGTCTGTAAGTTCGAAGAATCCAAACAAGGCGGGAAGCCATTCTTGTCGAACCAACCCTAACATAGTACGTATGAGTGGCAAACCTGCGCACTCATGCGTGACACCTAGAGGAACAAGATGGAACAAGCCATGTCAGGAAGCTGATGCTCTACGCCAACGACAGGTGAGTCCTAATCAAAACCCAGTATTAAAATGGTCTACTCATGTAAAGAATTAAGAAGGCGGCCGCAACTAATTCTTGCTGGGAGTTTCGCTTACTAACCTTCATCTATCCCGGTTTTGAGCAGGTGGCTCAGGTGGTGAAACCCCATGCGCCATGGTGAAAAAGACAACACGTATCGCCTCGGACATCAGCGGCCAACAGCACCGCGAAAGGATCGCCTTTTGGAACTTTGGCTAAACATGGACAAGGGGAAACTAAAGGTTCAACGGCTTTGGGCAGCTGAGAAAGATTGAAGAGGCCCTTTGACTTTTGCGGATTTTTTGCGGAGGTCCCCACGTACCCACCAAGTTGACCCACCGCACCCCCCCCCACCCGCACCCCCCACCCCTCTCATGCCATACGTGCGCCTGAGCCGCCCCGGCAGCAGGTACTCTCATAGCCCAGGATCTGGCCTTGCCGATCCTGGGCGAACCCTTCGGCGTCAACAGCCTGGTCACCCCCCAGTGAACATCCCAATCCCCACTATTTTGTTGACTAAAATGGGTGGTACCCCAAAATGGTACCATTGGTATTAACCTGCAGCCACATGGGGCCCTAAACGTTTTCCTAATAAACGGGCCCCAGCTTTGTACGAAAAAGCAATCATGCGTGTAGCATCCTACACCCAACTTGGTATGCATGAGGGTCTGATTGTGCCAGGAAGCGACCGTTTTTGGTAGGTAAATTCAAGGCGCGCGGCTTACAAGCGCCCCTTCAAGCAAAGATGTGCACCAAGCGGCGTAAAGCACTCCCAGCTCTCCTGCCACCAAAGTACCACTGGTATCTCCTGGAGACGTGGCATGGTTGCCGAAATTTCAAACAAGTTGTCTGTGACACCTTGGGATTACAACCCTGCTGGGAATCATCTCATTCTGGCATATGCCCAATTAAAATCAAACAAAGCCTATTTGGGAATCATTCGGGTAGTCCTGAGGATGAAATATACCAAAAGTTGATTGACCGCGTGTTTGACTATGGGTAGACACGCCACCGGATGAAATCATGTATACGGCGAGGGTCGTCCGCACCCCCAACTGTGGGACAGAACAAATGAGTAAGCCCCTCCATACGTTGTTTCCCTTTGCCCACACAAGAACATGGGGGAAAGCACCGTCCATGTTGCGGATCTTTGAACAACCCGGTTGTTGGTGTCCCTTGATTCCCTTTGTATGTGCTCCCTGACTTCCTGAAAGGCATTTCACCAGACCTCCCCTGGCACCGCTCTTTGGCAGTTGATAGAGGAAATCCGTTATACAAAACACATGTGCCATGCTCAAGACTTCATTTCTTTGGCCGATTGGGTCATGGTTCCTATGCAAATCACGGGTTCGGATCCAAGGTGCATGACCATTTTTTGGTGAACTCCAAGTAAAAGAACCGGTCTCTTGAGCATGGCACACATGGCTGTGGTTGTCAAAAATAGGGAAACCACTGTTTGTTGGTATTTACAGGGGAATCACCATTCCAGGGTTTCTTTTATGGTGCAGGATTTCGTCCATCCACAGTAGGTACCCCAGTTGCCCTGGTAACTGGAAACATTGACTAAAACCTGCGGTCCAAATCCTGGTGGTTTAATTTTGACCCACACCCACATGTAAAAAACCGGGCAGGGACAACCATTGGAAGCCCAGGAGGCACGCGGCGAGTCCACTTTGAATTCTTGGACAAGCTGACACCTCCCGGGCGCGTTTCGTGCACTGCAACCATGCATCTAAAGCATTCAATACTACCGGGGCGATTCCAACAGCTGTCAAGTGCTTTGTCAAGTGACCTCCCGGCAGGCGCTGGCCAAATAGGGGACCGGGACACCCCCCCAAAAAAAAGAAGAATGTAGGTATTTCGGACATAGGCCACCCCCCCCAAAAAAAAAAACAGAAGACAGTATATGACTTGGTTCCCCTTCCGACAGACTGCGCGATCACGAGAAGGCAAGTCACGCAACTCCGTGAAGTGGATGACTAGAGCATTCCCTGGTCGATGTTTCAAGAAGCTCCCTGAAGACGCCGCTGTTTGTTGCTGCACCAACTACAACTCTCCAACCTGAACTAAGGAGTCCAGGCAGTTTCATCCACTCAGAAAGGTGAGCTCGCTGTTCTCAAAATCACTTCAACCAACCTTGGTTAAAATAGACAAACCCGGACAGCTTCTCATGACTACATTACAGGGTTCCGGCTCTGCTTCTCGGTGAGGTGGCTCATATTTCAGTTGTGTTTGGCGGTCAATTTAGGATTCGTTTTTTTGGTGACTTAGAAGTTACAAAAAGCGTGAACCTTGCTGAGGCTCAATATTTTGAGACTAATCCAAATGGCGTAAGGCTTATTTAAAACTGTGTTTCTTTTGTTGTTGCTTTTTGTCGTGTTGTTTTTTTGTCTTTTCTTTTTTAACAAGCTCCTTCCCCTAAGTGCTTGGTACTTTGGAAAGAAGGACCCCTCGAAATAATGGGCAAGCTACGCGCAAAAAACAGGTGCTAACCACCCAAGGACCAAGACCACCTACAAACCACCCAGCACAACCCAAGAACCAGTAAAAGGTCCTGCTGCCACATTCCAACTCACGATGCGGTGGTTCCCGCTGTCAGCAATGTAGAGGACTCGGATGGAATCACCGTTCAGCAGCTTTGACATGGAAGCAAAAAAGAGAACTGCCAGGCTTCCATTTGCATTTCTGAACGCCAAAAGGCTCAGGGCACATCTCAATCAAATGGCCATGAAACGGACGCCAGGATTGCTTCTTCCACGGAAAATTGGAACCCTGACGCTTGCGCTGGACTTTGGAGAAACCGACTAGGAATGTGAAACGGGAAAGCAAGGGGGTAGCCTTCAAGGGTAACTGTGTAGGTTAGAAAAAATACTCATATCTGGGGAGAAACATTTGGAGGAACCAAGGGCCTTCATGTTGAAATTGGCCGATCAAGCGAGGTTGCGAATTCATTTGTCCCATGTGAGCTATGTGCCAAAGGGGGACTCCAGAAATGGCGGTTTTCCTGTTGGCTATCATCGTGAAAAGGCTACCCTCAACACTCATACACACGCACACTCACTCACACTTGGGTGCGCTTCACATTAAGGGGAAAGCTATCATAAACAATTGTTAATCCTTGCCACGGGAAACCACCATTTACATGCCAATAAGGGAAATCCTTGTGCTAGCCGGGATCCACTGGGTAGAACATAACACATATGTACACACACACGCGTTTTACAATTAATTAGCATGAAATGGGGAATAAGGGACGAGGGACTTTGAATTGGGGGTCCCATCAAGTTTAGATAGGTGGATTAACTTCCCCCCTTCCCTGCCTTCACGTATGCTCTCTGACAGTCCAAAGCTCCGGCCATATGCCAAAATAGAGGCACCCCTTCTTTTGAGGGGGTGCCTCTTGGTTTCCTTCAACACCTCCCTGAATCGGGACCAACTCCAAAACACACACACAAACAGAATCATTTACGGAGACAGTAGATGCCTCAGTAAAGGGAAGCCACAAGGAAACCGTGTTGGGAGTCCCCTAAACAAAGACACACCCAAATCTGGGCTGTCCTCAGATCCCCTGCTCAAAGTCGAGAACCTTTGGTGGTTTAGTGAAAACTGAAACTAAACTTACTGGGGATGGATGAAATATTGCACCACTTTGAAACCATGCGACACCAGGATTTGTCGGTATTTGCAGGAGAATCATCATTCCAGGGCTTCTTAGGTGGAAATTCGTCCATCCACAGTACTAAAAAGCTGATGACCTAAGGAACCGGATGGCTGGTTGAACCAAGACATCGGACCCACGCACGTCGCCAAGCTGCCGTCGCCCTCCAACCAGATGCCCCGAGGGAACTTCAGCTGATCCAGGCCTGCAAACCCCCAACCGTGCAAGGAGTTAGGGGCGCCTTCGGTGTCAGATACAGCATCCCAAGCCCAAAAGGCAGTACCTGGAGTCTTGACCCTTAAACAATGGGGTCATTACCCAAAATCATGGGGTGGACCCATCTTTGAAGGGTCATGGAGAGTCTAGGTAGGTGCTGTCGCGTTGGAGGCGTCCCATCTTTTTTGGGTTTTACTGGAAAACCACCCGCACCACCAGTGCCGCCCTGCAGATTAACATGCAACCCGAGACTTCAGCTTCCATGTCACATAGGGGAGTGCCTCATCAAAACAGGGGTAGAACCAGGAACTTCTATTGTAGGAACTTGTTCTGGTTACTTGTTCTGTTACTTTTGTAGGGGAGTACCTCATGAAACAAGGAATGCCCAACACCTAAACACACTGGACCACTGACTCACTTGAGTGGGGTTGGCCAAAAGACAGTAACCAGGAACTTCTATTATTCACGACTAAAATGGTCCAACACCAAAACGTGACTAAAGTCCAGGAACTCAGGGAGTGAGCTATCACGTTTTGTTGTTGCTTTCTCTGTTGAGCGACATCCAACAGGGGCGCCTGATCGCCGAACATGGGACCTGCAAAAACTGCAATGTGTGGCTTTCCCGTTGGACAGTGCTTGAAAAAAGGAGAGCACCTGGAGATGCCTGCCTTCCAAAAAGGATCGCGACACCTCCCCTGAAAAAAATCATACAACGGACAAATAGCAATGATGTCCTTCTCGGTGTTCCTCAAATACATCATCCAAAAAAGGGAACTGACTGACAATCGTGGGTGAATTGGCTTCCTTTTGCCTGAAGACTCATCATCTGATGAGTTAGGCCCTGTTGCAGAACATGGGTATGTTTGGACATGAGGCACCCCTACAAAAGGCTGGTTTCTCTTCAACTTCAAGTTGAACACCAAAGGGGTTGCTTTCCATTTGTTCGGACACTCCTAAACGAAAATCCTCTAGAGGCAGTCCGGTCCAACAGAATCTAAGAGTGGTGGGAAATAATTGGGGACGGCTCGAAAGGCCGTGGGGTTCCTTTTCAACTTTCGACGTGTTCATTAAGTCCACCCAAGCGCTGAAATGGGAATCACCTAAACAAACCAACTTCCTTTGACAGTCCTGCAACATGTCTAATGGAAAGGGGAGTTAAGTTGTGTGTGTGTGCAGCATGTCTAAAAGGGGAGCTACGTTGTGTGTGCGCGTGTGTTTATGCTTTCACACAAGTCATTGTAGGTCGAATGCGCCTTTCTGCGCCTTTCTGCGGGATTTTCATCCTCGTATTCGTGCCTGGCCACAATGAACGGTCAAAGAAAATGACGCTACCACCCAAGCTGCAGAAGTACTTTTCTGCAGATTAGCATGGAAGCCCAAAAACCGCATTTCTAATTTTTGAAAAGAAGTGACAGCTTCTTTTGGGGTTAGTTCCAGTTCCTTCTGATAATTTCCTGGGGACTACCTCAAACAACGGGTGTGCAAACCAGGTTGGCCAGCCGAACATAGGCCGATTCGTTGTGCGCTTTCCCTTGTATACTAAACTGCAAGACTAGGTCCTCCAGTAGAGAGCCTAGAATAAGGGTACCAACTGTTTTTCTGTAGTCTACTTTAGTAGGGGAACCCTCCCCCAAAAAAGAATCGGTAAAACGGCACCTAGCTGGGGGACCTAGCCTTTATGTTCCTAGGAAATTAAATCAACTCCCTGGAATGATGATTCCCCTGTAAAGACCAACAAACAATGGTTTCTCATGGTTTCAAAGTGGTGCGAAATGGATTTTGGCCACCCACAGTATGATTCCGAAAGGAAGCCCTTTATGTTCCAAGGAAACAGGGATCCTTACATTACCCTTTTGGGTGGAAAAAGCAACATGTGTCAAATGGTTGCAAAACTCGGTTGCTTTCTGCTCCCCTGCTAAAAGTTTTTAACCTTTAGTGGTTTAATACGGAAAACCCAAATTCGTTGGCAAGAAGTTCTCAAGTCCCAACATCCCTTGGCAAAATGCACCAAAGAAAATGAAAATTTCTTCTAAGGAGCCCCGGGAAATTGGATCAAAGACTCTCCGGCCTCCTCCGGGCGCACCGGTGCCAGCCACCGTCTCCCCAGCTTGGTCCATGGAAACCCATCGCCTGCCGTCGATTCATGGCCTCGTTGGCCTCGTTAGATCGGTGGGTGCATCCCTTTTTTTAAGGGGGCCTACAGGGTTTTCATGTTGGTTTCCGTCTAAATGTTGTTTTTTTAGGGCCTACAAGTTGTTTCTTTATTGAAGGGGACCTACAAAGGTGTGGTTTTCATGTTGATGTCCCTTCAAAACCATGTAAAAAAGGGTGCCCTCCCAAACATGGCGCACCGATTTTCATGACAGTTTCCCGTGAAAGACACACCTGACTAGGGCACCCTCAACAAAAACAAACACACGCACATCCTTGTTCCATGCCAGATTCCGTGTTAGATGGCAGAGTGATGAAACATGGGCTGAGAAGAACTCCGGACCCCTTCAAGGAGGAGCGGCATTCAGCATGGGTGAGCTATTTTTTCTACAGCCGGTGACTTTGCCAATGCTCACCATGAGCGCAGAAATGTGAGATTTGGTAAAACACATGGAGCTATTCTTCTACGGCCGGTGACCTTGCCAATACTCACAACAGAAGGAAGCCCGTTTGAGTCATCATCAAACCCTGGTATTACAAAAAACTATGCAAATTGAAAAGGCGATTGCAGACCTTGGGCTCTAGCACCAATATTGGCCGACTAGCAGAGCCCTGTGTGTTTAGAAAACGGATCCGGACCGATCCAGAGAGAAACAAAGAAAGAGAATCTGCTTGGGATCAGAGCTGTGCGGAGCTCGATAAGTGCCGTAAGGTCATAAACCGGCCAGCAGCCTCAAACAGCAACGAGGAAGCTACCAAATGGCAACAAAACGTTTGGTCACTGCACCAGCCGTTTCCGGCCCCGGTGCCGGATGGCACCTCAAGCCAAATAAAGCTTCGACTCCACCCATGTACACCTGACATATACCTCGTACGTGCCTGAGTGAATAGTTCATAGGGGCACACCCCTTGTTAAGCCTATGACCGCCTCCTGCGCCCCAAACTGCTTCATGGATTCCTAATACCTTTTTCCCAAGCTCACCCTGCCAAGCGAAAACTCACTCGCAAAAGGCGATGTGAGTCTGTCTCACAATTCGCGGACCCCCGTAATTGGTTTCCCTTTCACTTCCCTGTAAAACAGCCAGAAAGGAGTTCCACGACAAAAACTCACACCTATCACCCATGTTTAAACTCAGCATGCAGGGGGTGAGGTGGTTTGCCGGAAGGGGGGGGGGCCTCCAACAAGACACCTATCACACATGCTTGAAACTAGCCAAAAGCGGGCTCCCGAAAGACACACCTATCACATCACCATGATTAAAACCAGCCAAACGAGGGTTCCCCCAAAAGGGGCTTCCGCACTTAACCCCTAAAAAGACACACGAGGGGAAAACGATTGAAGCCGCCTTGAGGAACGGCTGGGGCTGCAAGATTCAGCCGAGTGGCTGCACGCGATGGTTCATGGTGTCGGAGACATAGGTGTTTCCCGAGGAATCTCTGGCGACCTCGACGGGTCTCAGACGAATTGCACAGCACTCAAACCCCGAGCTGACTTTTGGTTCTACTGAGGTGGCTAGAAAGACAGGCTTTAGCACAACTCATATTGAAGCCAAGTACGAGAACCGACTAAAATGGCCCTTTTGGGGGGGGGGGTGTTGGACAGTGCTCAATTGGAACCCAGAGTTGGGGTCGTGATGGTTTCTTGATAATTAAAACCAAAGAGCTAGTAAAGTTTGGTGGCTACCGCCCCTGTGCAAAAGTTTGGCTTTCTGTTCATCAGGAATCCAGCCAAATTCCGAAAACTCAAGATCTGATCAAACAGAGTTTCCTCCAATTCCCTCTTTGGACCCTCCGAAAGTGGCGATCGTTTCAATGGACGCCACCAGTAGATTGATGAACTTTTGATTCGGTTGGAACTCCTGGATTCCTCCAAGGTTGTTCAAGGGATGGGGATGAACCGAAGAATTGCAGGTTGAAACCAAGGGAATCTTCAACACCTTGGCTTCTGAAATTGCTTCATCAGCTTCTTGGAGAACCTCAAAGAAACAAGCAGGAGCCTCTATTAAACACACATGCCCAAATCCCCACCTCCAAAACCAGTTGCTTCCTGACTTCTCTCATGTTTGGGTTTCCCCAAACCGGACCTTCGCAACGCCCTCCGAAACGCGCCCCCCAAAAAAAAAACGCGCGCGGCGTGTTCGAGGCGCCCCGTAGGGCCGGCGGAGCTGCCACAAGTCGCCGCCGCCCCGAAAGCCGCCGGCCAGCAGCTGGATGGGGAACTCCGTCTTCCTCGGGGTTGGTTTCTCTCGAAGCTCTCGGGAGAGCAAAAACGTCGGTGGTGTTGACCCGACAAAAAAAACGCCTGGTGTGGGGACAGGGGGGGGGGATTTAGTGGCTTACCCGCCTTTTGGGGTGATTCTTGCAGCTCTCCCGGCTTCGAACACATCTTTGGAGCGTCTACACCCTTATGTTTTGGGTGTGTCTTTGAGGGGAAAAAGGAACAGGCAACCCACCTTCTCAGGAGGTTGGGCGTCTACCCTTTTACCTTCATAATTAAGTTATAAAGTCCTTAAGGCGTTTCAAGGGTGGTCCAAGGCGAGGTTCCCTAAGGCTCCCTAGGGAACCCTAAGGAAGCCTAGGGCTCTCAGCATCTCTCAGCTACTCACCCCCTTGCACCTACCTCGCTTGGGGGATACATAATTAAGCTCGTTTCAAGTGTCCCAGGACCACGTCGCGTTCCCCACCTAAAATTTATCTGGGGTCGATAGGCCCAAATAGGATCTGGGATGCCTCGGAAAAAAACCCAGGTAGGCTCTTGGGCATACCACTCAGGCAGATTGTTGGGTTTTTCAAGGGGGAACACATTGCCCATACGGAAACCAGGGTTCGGCATTTATGGAGCCAATCCTACAAACCTTTTGGCTGGTGACTGGAAAAACCTCCATTCTTCTAGGGAAACCATCAAAAACCAGGGACGCAGCCGGTTTTTGAAAAGAACGATGGTTGAACAGAATGGGGAATCAACCAGAAAATAGGAAGCTCCTGCTCGTTTGCTCTCCAAGCACCAGCGTACAATCACCTCGGAAGCGCGCCCGTCCGCTCAGACGAGGAGCTTCTCCACCGCAGCAGCTCGACGTGGCCTGGAGCTTACTTCGCGCAAGCAACGAAAGGCTGAAGTAGGACATGATGGATCCTCATTGATTTGGCTGTGGGTCACAACTAATGGTGAATTCAACACCCATTTTAGAACCTATTTTAGTGGGGATTGGGATGCTCACTACGGGTACGGGATTTTGACCCATGACCATTTGTGGTTTGGGTTGGTTTGGTGTTCCGGCGATCCCATTGACCCTCCGCAGCCGAAAAGTTCTCAAATCCCATTACCAATCCAAACCAACCCTCGGTTCTCTGACATCCTCCACTGGAAAAACTAAATGCCGCTCTAAGAAATCCGCTGGACAGCGCAAGTCCTGAGTCCTGAGTCCTGAGACGCGTCTTTTCTCTTTTCCGGCATGAAAGAGAATGCAATTGGGAAAGCAACTTTTTCTTTTGCGTCCCCACCCAAATGAGATCCCCAGCCCAAGGGCAAATGATGCCGGAAAATGGCATGAATCAATCCTCCATGTCGCGTGTGGGAAAAGGCCACTCTCCTCCAGCCACTCCCCTCAGAAAGAACATGTACAAAGAAATTTCACGAAATCCTCCATGTGGGTGTGGATCCGTGAATTCCCCTCTAAAGTTGGTCTCCACAGAAAACGATTTGAGAGTTCCCCCGTGTAAGGCAATACCCCGGTGAGGTTCCCGCCAAAAAAAAAAAGGTCAAAAAACAAGTAGGAGTTGTTAGCACACGGGCTGCGTACAACCCGCTCCTTCGGCCAATTTAGGCTCGAGGCCCGAAGCTTGCTTCGCAGCTTCTTGGGATCCATAGACGACGCAGAAACTGCGTGGGGCGTTCATCCCGTGTTCTCCGATTTCTACCGGAAGCAAATCCGACCGCGTGCTTCATATCCTAAGCTCCGACTTAGTCGCATGGGTTTTCCCAGCAATCAGCGAAACTCTTTCAGATGGGAAGATGACTTCACAAGCGGCTTCCCGTTCGAGGATGGCTTAAGCTTTGTAGAAGTCGTCCACACTTAGCTTTCTTTCGAAGACCGAATCAAGTGTAGTTGCCACGGAGGAAGTCAGGCCGTCTTGTTCAATAATTTGCTTGTCTCCTTGGGCAAACCCCCATCCAATTCCTGACCATTCAACAACAAAACAAGCAGTGTGAGCTGAACCCACCTACAAATAGCTGCCTCTCAACATGCTGCAATCATATATTTTTACCTCCGTAAAATTCGTTGTGTTTTTCTTCAAGACAACTTAAGCATTGTCATGTCCAAACCCGTGACTTTCTTACAGACATGGCCAAAATCGACCTGAACATCGGACAAGGGTACCACCAAGCGTGCAGCCAGGCGCAGTAGCCTTGCTGCGGCTGAACCGACCTACACCTCCTCCATCCATCCAGCCGTATCCATTCATTTCCTCGGTCGGAAAATAGTACCATATCTGGGCTGCCCTCAGATCCCCCGCTAAAAGTGAACAACTTTTAGTGGGACCACTAAACACTAAAAGGCTAAGAAGCTAAGGGGATGGCTGGTTTACCGCAAAAATGACGTATCAGTTTAAGGTCCACAGTCGACCCGAATGAACCAATCCGGCGGATCATATTTGCGTGTCTCCCACCCAAAGTGAGCCGGATCCCCACTTAAATGGGACACCCCGCATGTTCATCGACCAGCGGTTTTGACCCAGGATTCCCCTCAACTGGATCCATCCGCCCATGAATCTACATAGGGAACCTCAAAAGTGGTTGGTGGACATGAATCCCCGCACCTTTCTCTGATGTCGACCAATTTGGTCCCAAAGCATCGGGAAGTCACGAGGTCCTGCCCCCTTTCCCCGGCCTCGAAGCCGAGGGCTCAGGTTCCGGAGCCTGGCAAAAGGTCAAAAGTCACAGAGAGCTCGTGGACTGATGGACCTCGGATTCACCCCCCCTTTTTTTTTGGTGGGGATGGTTTTTGGCCCCTCCAACAGTGGTCTGAAGACTAAAACCAACCCCCCCGGTGTCACATAATGTTGACCCCATACCAATTGACCCCAGTTTACCAATCGGGAGGGTGTCGCTGGGTTTAGTGGGGAATCATCACTTTTGGAGGGAACACCCCCCCATTCATAAACTGGGGTTGATTGATATGGGGTCAACATGAATGATGGACCAAATCCGCACAAATTAATCGGCATGAGTTGGTAGGTGGTTTATCCCAGCATTCATAGGGATCGATCCATCATTGCTGGTGCATCCGCACGTCACCCCGTTTTAGAGAAAGACCGGTTAAATAGAGGAGAACGAACAAAAAATCCAAACAAGAACGGCCATCCTCTTTTCCTTTTTGAAATCATTGAACGTCACCTTCAGAAAAGCCCGTGAAGGACCAAGCATTGCCCATTGCCCTGGAAGATACCTATATTGCTGGTGAATGACCAAACATGCGGGAAGTCGCCGAAATGGACTTCCAAAGTTGACACGCGGAGGCTCTTCCCCAGCGCCTTGATTCGTTTGTTCTCTGCGCGTTCGAAGATCAAGAGGTAGCGGAGATTCTCAAATAATTCTTTCAGATGGTATCCACCCCCAAACCCTAACAGAAACATTGCCGCAAACGTCTGTACAAGTACACAAACTCAATAATCATGATCGCATGGTCTTTGTTTGCCAACCTCAAAAAAGGCATTCCTAGGAACAGAACCGTCATCATGGCTGCAAGCACAAAACGCCGATGTCAGGTCGCGATTTCATGTGCCCAGAATGTTGTCTCAACTGGAGACTGTCAAAACTCCGGAGTTGCTCCAAATTGTCGGCATCTCGAATGAATAGTCACCAAAAAGACTTCTAGCTTGACACGCTTGCAGCCATTTGCATGACACAAATAGGAACAGGAGGCAGTGGATAAGAGCATCGTCCAAATCCCTTTCCCACCCGGGTAGTCGTCCCGCATCTTCCCCAATGGCTCTTGGTGAGGCATAGCCAGAGGCTCGCCCAGCCGTATTCCTGACGCTGACTTTTAGGCGCCTGAAAGCATGGGGGCTGGGGGGGAGGGAGGGGAGCGCAAAGGAGCCCTAAATAAGGCCTTATTCAGGGCTTATTTGGGGCTCCCTCCCCTCCCTCCCCCCTAGCCCCCTATGATGAAAGGGAGACTGAAAGAAAGCCAGAAAGGCCAAATGCTTGGCGGGCTAATATAGGCTAAGTCTGGCAATGCCAGATGAGCTACACCCAAAGCCCAGTGACTCTTGGTTCTACCAACACAATGATTGATAGTCTAAGGGTTCGTATGGGCCTTACAAGAATCGCTGCTGTGGGTGGACAAAACTGTGCACCACCTAAAGAACCCTGGAATGATGATTCCCCCTGTAAATACAAACCAACAAGGGCAAAAGGGTTTCAACCATGGTTTCCAAGTGGTGCGAAATGGATTTCGTCCATCCACAGTATCCCAATCCCAACAAGAAGTGGGTTTTGTCTATATTTGTAAGGTATCCCTGTTAAACCAGGTAGAACCACCTACTTGCTCACCTCGTCCCTTTGACGCGCAGCCTCTGGAGCTTCATCCCCACTGCCAGCTCCGTCGTTGTCCGCATGCCTCGGTTTTGTCCAGTGTGAGTGTGTCTTCTTTTAGGGTAACCCCGTGTTTGGTGCTTGTGAAGGGAATCCCAAACTTGGAACTCCCTTTACAACCACCAAAAAAGGGAATACCTTACAGGAAACGAACCAGTCATGGGGTGCCTACTTTAAGACACACCAATATGTGAGCTTCTGATCTGATGTCCGCTGCTGGAGAGAATCGAAAAGTCCCCCCCTTAACCGAAACCTACTGGAAACCTTGACCGAACCTCCATATGGCCATGCTTGGCAGACTTGGGGGTGAAAACAGCTCTTGTTTCCCTCGCTGCAAACTTGACGTATTTGGCGCTGGCAAACCTCCGTGCGCTCCATTCTTTGCTCATCCCTCAAGTCGACCCGTGGTTTGCCAATCTGTTGGATCAATAGGGGGTGGCGCTTCCTTCAAAACGGTCGGGATTGGGAGCTTTTAAAACCGGGACACCCCCCAATCCGAATCGAGCAAGGGTTTACTAAGGCGGGGGGAGCACGGGCCCTTAAACATCACCCCCACCAAAGGAACACACCTTTCATGGGCCAAAAAGATGATGCTTACAGACGCCAAAAAGGGAAATATAGGGACCCCTGTAGCATTACACCATACAACAGTCCGCAGCAGAATAAGCTCGTCGGCCAAGATGCGACCGCAGCACCAGCAGTCCAAGGACCAAGACAGCGCGTGCACCCGCCATGGCGCGAGCACCCCAAGTGAGCGAGGGCAGGCTATTTGGTCAGTTTCCAACTGAGTTTGAGGTGAACCAACCCCGAAACTGTTTCGAAACACGCATTCTTCAACTTGTTCCAATCATGGGCAGCTGGTTCACCGGGCCGGAGAAACTTGAGATGGTTGGTTCATGACTGTATCAGCTTCATGTCTTGATATGTCTTGGCTTAAGTTCTCACTGGTGCCGGGATCACAAAATCAGGAAGCTCACCCCGCACATGAGCTCATTGTCTTCAAATCTGCTTCAAATAAAGGATTGTTTGGGGTACCAGGAGCAAATGTTACTGGCTAGAAACGCACCCCCCTGGGTCCAATAAACCCCGTGAGACAAACATAACAAAATTCAAGCGAATGCAATGCTAACTTTCAACCAGTGAGGTTCGTTGTGCTGCAAACGTGTCTGATCGTCAAGCGCACAAGCCTGGCTGAGTTCAGGAACGGACGGCACAGCCCCCCCACTTCCATGAAGGTTGGAAAGAGGGCAGCGTGCCAATCGCGAATAAGAGAATATGAAAGGGACATTTCCCGTGATCAGAGGCTTAGCCTTCGGCCCTTTGCAAGTGACTATAACTACATCAGGGCTGCTCTTTCGGGGGCAGAGTGCCATCCGATCCCAACGCTCGTTCCGAACTACAATCAGGGTTGCTCCAAATACCGTATCACAAGGGTAGAATTCTGGGCGGAAGACAAAAGGACTTGCTTGCGCGTGGGACACGTGGACGGTGCAAGTAAACCTCCCAATCAGTCGAAGCCCCGTTCGTTGTTGTTTCAAGGTCTTTCCCACTTTCGCCAGCAAGAATTAGGGGGTCCTGCGGTTTTACCAAAAAGTTTTACCAAAAGAGACAAATCCATTCCAATGATCTCTCTGTCCGGCCTCGAGCATGCGGCAGGCATGCTCAGAGGTTGCGTGCTTCTGCAGGAACTGGACCTTTCAGCCCCGAGAGTCCCAAGGTGAATATGGGCAGTTCGATCAGCACCCAGCTGTTTCTGTCTGGGCACTCGTTTCAATTGGTTTAAACGGAACCACCAGGAAATCCACCATTTCCTGGCCCTGAAAAAGTACGCACCCGTGTCTAGGCCAGCGATCGCAATTGCAGTTTGTTCTTCCCTGAAAGCTTTGGGGTCTCTCAAGCAAGCTCCGGAGTGCGGAAGTTTTTGCGGGCGGAAGGGCGGAAGGGTTCCGGAAGGGTTCCAGTTCCACAACGTTCCAGGGCTGTTGGGGATAACAGTTGTTTTTGTTGTTTCTTTTGCTTTTTTTTTTTTCTCGGAAGATGACCGCAGCTCCCGGCCCCAGGCAATCTATTCAGGCCCTTTTAGTATTGCAAAATCATGGAACCTGACTGAGGGAGGTAACTTCCCCCCCCAAAAAAAAACAGCTTCTGTGTTTTTAGGTTTCCTTTCAGGGGGTTGGCCCCCTTCGGGGTTGGACGCCCACGTCCCAACCAAAATTGGAACGAACCCGATCCATTCGCATCGATCGGATATGATCGGATGAAATCCCTCTCCCAGACATCCCTCTCTCACAGCTCTCCTTTCCCTCTCCAGTTGTTGCTGTGCTTTTTATTTGGCCACCCCCAAACTCCCTAAAGGTCGCGCACTCAGTGCTCAGAGACCTGGATTCGTTCGTTCGTTCGTTCGCAACCCCCTTTCCCACGACATCCGAGCCGCGCTGAACTGCACCAGCGGCGCCACGTCGAAGCGCTTCGCCGCGTCCAACACCGCCAGGACCTCGGTCTATTGGGAAACCGAAGGGGAAACCCACCCCTTTTAAAGGCCAGGTCCTCCAGTAGAGAGGTTTGAACAAGTTGGTACCCAATGTTTTTCTGTAGTCGATTTTAGTAGGGGAACCGAATCTCCCCCCAAAAAGGGGTGAGAAAGGGCACTACTGGGGGACCTAGAAGGGAAACCGAAGGCAAAAACCACCCACTTTGAGGAGTCCCCTAAAAACACACACACACACACACCCATATCAACACCTGAGTCAGAATGAAAACCACCCCAACTGAGTTCCCCAACTTCGGTACCCACATGATGTTGGCTTCCCTTTTCAGGGGATCCTTTCACAGGGATGCCGACCCCATGGACCCTTTGGGGCTTGCTGGCTTAGACGCGTGTGAGTGATAATCAAAACTGATCGGTACTAACATGGTCGGGACTCAGAATCTTCGGTCCCCCGCCCCCCCCCCAATGGCACTAAGGTCTATGTTCGAAGAACATGCATGGATGGTTCTGCGAACTTGCTACGGCCATGACGGTGACATACTCAGAGTTGCAGTTCCCCTCTAAATGGTAGTTGAAAGGGAACCCAAGCCGCAAATGTAAGTTTTAAAAGCTCTCAAGATGTTCACTTTCAGGGAGTACTGCTAGGTCCTCCAATGGAGAGGTTAGAATAAGGGTACCCTTCTTTCTGTAGGGGAACCCTCCCCAAAAAAAGGGTCAAAGGGCACGACTGGGGGACCTAGAGAAAGTACTAGGTGGGACATCCACGTTGTTTGTTGAATTGCTCCTCATCGGCCGAGCTCTGCGCTGTCTCTGGCCCGATCTGCGCCGTGCCGGTGTAGATCACCCTCCTGGCAAAAAAGGCGCGTCAACATCCGCTCCCTCCCAGGAAGTTGAATGTGGCATGAATGGAATGTCTTGGGTGCCCAAAGAGGTCTCAAAAACTAGCGCATTGTCCATCCCCTGGTTTCCTTTCAGGGACATTGAGCCTGGTGCACTGTTTAGCACGCAGTGTCACCGCATGTCACCGCCATGATTGCTAAAAGAGCTCTGGCGTTGACTTTCATACGGAAGGTCAGGCTTTAACGAAATTGTTTGTGCAGAAAGGAAAGCAACAATGTACGAGTCAACAAAAACAGTGTGTCCTGAGAAAGCCACAAGATTGCGTTGCTGACCACTCCGCTTGTAGGCAACTCTGGGTCGAATAAGTCGCCCTCCGGAAAACGCCCACGCGCAGGATGGAACCTCTATTTCTGGGCCAGCCCATGGCCTTAGCGACAACCAAACGGACATGCTCTCTGATCGGCTGCGCTTGGGCGATTGGACGACTCTGCTGGCTGTGGGAGCCTGAAGGGACAAGAAAACTCATTTTTTTTGTTGTGGGGTTGCCCTGGGCTTGCCCCGAGGCCAATCCACAAAAAAATGCCGCTCCGTCCAAAACGGCGGTTGAAACGGTTCTATGGGGAGGCACTCCCACCCCAACAAACACCTTCCTGTGTCCTAGTAGGAACTTAGCACATTGTCCCAAAGCAATGGGGATGACCCGTGCCCTCAGCTGACCTTGAGGAGCCCAGATTTGGTCGAGCTTAAAATATGATGCCCACGGGTCGAAGCAAGCATGTGGGTCTGTCTTTTTTTGAGGGTACCCCTTTCTTTGTGGTTTTGAAGGGAAACCAACATGCCACTCATCTCTTTTTTTTTTGGGGGGGGGGAGTCCTGCTATAGAGAGACATTCCGAATTATTTTGGTTAAGTTCATGTGGCTGTGGGTCGAAACTCTGTACCCCTGGTGAACATCAAAATAGGAAGTACATGGGTGTTCATCCGCCCCAATTTGGAGGCAAAGGTTATGACCCATGGCCATGTTTCTTTGGGATGGTGAGCCGGCGCAGCAAAACCGAAATGGGGTCCCAGCTGAACCTTTGATTAAGCGTGCCAGACTGGCAATAGAACCTCGAAGGCGGCCGGTTCCACGTCCAGCAAGCGAACCTGCGCAAAAAAGCAAGGCAGCAGAAAACGAGGTTGGTTCCATCAATGAGCCAAAGTTCAGTCTCAATGTTACCTTTTAAAACCAAACCACACTTGGATGTTGCACCCACTTAGGAAGTAGGGTGAAACCATGGTCTTGTCTATGGATAACTGGGATCAGCACCCTGATGCTCCTAACCAACTTACCTGGCGTGGCTTGAATGTCCGAGAGCAAATGCGCCCTGGCCAACACTCCCTTGATGGTCGTGGTTCTCTTACTTAGGCACCGGCATAATTTGACTTGTTGTCTAACACCCTACTGTGGATGGACAAAATCCTGCGCCACCTAAAAACTCTGGAACAATGATTCCCCTGTAAACACCAACAAACAGTGGTTTCTCATGGTTTCAAAGTGGTGCAGGATTTTGTCCACCCACAGTAGCAAAGGGTTCATGTTCAGCCCTGTGCTTCCAGCTACCGCTATAGTAAGTAGCCAGGTATGTTGACCTGTAGGTTTTACATGATGGTTCCCCCTGGTTACCTACTATAATGAATAACTGGAAGCACTAGGCCCTAAGAACCTGGGGCAAAGCAAAGGGTTCCCCATACTTCCCCCTCAAACATCCCCCCGGAAAGCCACTTCAGATTGGTCACTTCAGACAGGATTGGTTCCACCACCTTCCCTCGAATAAGTATGGCCAACCCTGCGGGGTGCTTTGACAACATGAAGTCAGACATACTCAGGGTTCCGCCCAATCAGTCAAGGCTCAAACCCAGAAGCCAAAAAAAGAGCCTAATTCAAAAACACTGGTTGATTCATAGGGCGTGTGCTCCATTTTAGAGGCACGCCTTCACTTTGGGGGGGGGGGGGCGCAGCCCGACTTTTACAACAGCTTGGCGTTGCCTCTCACCTCAAAATGACCCTCCAAATGGCGATTTCAAGGCAACCCGCCCCAAAAGTAATTTTGAGAACCCCTCAAAATCCGTTTCCCACTGCAAGGAGCCAAAAGGGAGCACGCAGCTCAGAACCACCAGGAGCACCCCAGGCTCGTGATTTTGGAAGAAATAGAGTCGGTTTAACCCCCCCAATTCCATCTACCCGTCCTTTTCAGGGCCATTGAACATTCACCTGTCGATTTGTCCACAGAGGAACAGGATGCTGAAGGCCCCAAACAGTCGGGCCAAATTGTAACATGTTGCCATAATTCTTTCAACAAGCTCCTTTCGGCTTCCCTTTAACGGGCCCATGCTTCTAGTTCACACACACGCATCTGGGTATGATTCTTCCTTCGGGACCCTTTTGGTGATCATGTAAGTCTAGTTGGGGATTCATGGCCACCAACCACGTGAGTTCGTGGGTCCCCGTAGTCTTTTTTTTGGCGGCCCAGACCACTTGGAAACCAACACTTCGCCGTGGAACCTCAAAGCAAACCAAATCAGGCAAGCCAAAAGGCTTCAAGAGGTCGTGGGCCCAATCCATACGCCATTTTCCTAAGCCATTTTTCCTGAGCGTAAGTCATCCCCATGTTCCCCCTGCGCCCCATCCATCCGCACGACACGCCTCCTTGGCGCCGCCCTCGGCGAAGGCTCCGCAGAGCATCGACTCCAAGGGCTGGGACCAGGCCGCCACCAAACCTCGCAGCCGCGTCCAGCGTTCGGTTGGCGTCCGGAGGAGCGGTGGACCCATTGATAACACGGGGGACCGGAGGCGGGGGGGGGGGAGACGCAACAACACCCAGGGGTTGGGGGCTCCCCCAAAGAATGGAGAGGGGGGGAAGGAGGGAACCAGGCTGGGGAGATAGCTAGGGAATGAGGGAATGAACCTGGGGACTCCCTGAAAGAAAGCCATAGGGGATGGTTGGATTCCCTGCTGACCCAAGGTAGCCAGATGGATAGCCTAGTTGGTACTAACCAAAAGGTAAGTACTTGCGAGTACCATCCAGTTCCAACTTAGAAACAATATGGCGAAACGATCAATAATCTGGATAATGCTGACCCAGGATTAATAAACCCCCCCCTATTAAAGCGCCTGGTTTTCCTGGAAAATCCCTCGCCAATACTCGTTTTAATTGAAACCCAGGAATTTGCCCTGGCACCCCCACAATAACAAACAAAATCCCCCGAAACCCCCCCCTATTAAAGCTCCCCTCCCCCAAACCCCCCGCTACATCATGCGTTTTTAATCTAATTTTAACTTGCCCAACTTTTGCACATGCAACAGCAGCACCCCCCCATTAGTAAAGCCAACACCCCCCTATTAATCTACCATGTCCTTCCCTCACCTGACCTTCCCACAAGGTCCTGACCTTCCCACAAGGTTCCCTCACCTGACCTTCCTACAAGGTTCCCCCACCTGACCTTCCCACAAGGTCCTGACCTTCCCACAAGGTTCCCTCACCTGACCTTCCCACAAGGTCCTGACCTTCCCACAAGGCTCCCTCACCTGACCTTCCGACCTTCTCACAAGGTTCCCCCACCTGACCTTCACAAGGTCCTGACCTTCCCACAAGGTTCCCTCACCTGACCTTTCCACAAGGTCCTGACCTTCCCACAAGGTTCCCTCACCTGACCTTCTCACAAGGTTTCCCCACCTGACCTTCCCACAAGGTCCTGACCTTCCCACAAGGTTCCCTCACCTGACCTTCCTACAAGGTCCTGACCTTCCCACAAGGTTCCCTCACCTGCCAGGACCCAAAAAATTCCTAGACGCAAAAAGAAAACAGAAGTTGGGACCTGGAAAATGCGGGGTATTCCGCCACCCCCCCTTCCAATTTTTGGCCCACCCCTAGACTTGTTTACCCGGTGGTTGAGTTCCCCAAAAGGAACCGATTTTCGACTCTAAAGTCTATCTTGGGGTAGAAAGATTTTGTCGACTCGGGTTCCTGGGTTGTCTATTTTGTGATCAACAAATGGACTGAGAAAAGTGGGCCGTGAATTGGTACCTAAAATGGCACTTCAGGTACACATAAACAAGCCTTGGAAGGGAGAAAACCCGTAAACAGGGGGTGCCATTGCCACCAATATGTTGGAGCCAAGAAACCTAAACCAATACCTTGAAAGAAGGTGGTTGCAAAATAGACCAAGTGTCCACCATGTGGGGGGCAATTCCAAGTAGTCCCACTTCATCAGACTCATCAACCGGGTGGATCAATAGAGGTGTGCTTCCCCAGAAAGTGAAGCGTTGCAAAGTATTTATCAAAGAATGGGACACCTTCCACCCCCAACAACTGCCAAGCTCGAAACCCGAGCGTCCAGCTCCGGTGCGCGGGGAAGCGCTGCGGAAGCGACGCCTGAGGGGTGATTTTTGACATTCGGGCGTGGACCTGCGCTTCTTTTTGGGTTACTTTGTCTGGGATAGTTTTGCAGAGACACCCGGGTTTGTCTTTTATGGGGGGAAGAATCCTCTTTTGGTCATTGTTATTGTTTTCAGGGGTTCCCTACGATTTGAACTCCTGGTTCTTGTGGGTAAAAGGGAAGCGGCCCCTGGAACACCTCCAAACCACCAAGCCACCAAACCACCAGGCTCCTAACTAGAGACACCTGCAGTCATGACCCAGTTTGAGTTCCCCAATTTTAAGACACACCCATTTCAGCACTCAAAACTAGACTTGGCAACCCCAAAAAGGCGCTAGGCTGATCAGGCCTCATTTGACTTGAGGGGTCGAAAATTGAACCCTGGTGCAGAAAAACCAAGCGACCAATTTTCTACTCAAATGGGCAGTCGTTTCGGAAGCGCCAAACGGGAGGTCCTGGAATGTTGCAAATGTGATCCGAAAAAGGGAGGCCACGTGTGATTTTTCAGGAACCTAAAGCGGCAAGCAGGGGTCGCTGCAATTCGAATCAAACAAGTTTCTCAATTTCCTGGCGGGTTCTACTGAAACTGCCACTTTGGAGGTCCATGCCAAGGGGGGAATTGAGGGAGCCGTGAGCGCTTTGGGTTTGCCGGAGGGGAAGCACCTCAGCTTTGCCCACCCCAAAACCATATGATGGACTCCATGTCATCCGTATTTCGTGAACCAAAATCTGAAAAGTCAGATCACCCCTCCCATCACAGCTTTTTGGCCCAGTACGGATTTTGGACCTGTGAAAAAGCAGTTTTTGGGGTGAATGAACGGCAAGCCTGGGACGTTTTCTTTTTTTTTCAGGAGGCAAGCGACCAGGTAAGTTGAAAAACTTTAGGGTCCAAGTGCCTCGTCTTTGCGGAGGGATGAACCCCTTGGAACCAAACCTTAAAACCGTAAGTTTGGGATGCTTGGACATGGGAAAGAGATCCCAGCAGCTAGCTTTCAACAAAGGCACGGAACCTCCTGGGGGTCTTTTTTTGAGGGGCCCCAAAATGGTGGTTCTTTTGTTGGCTTCCCTTCTAAAAAACTATGAACCGACTCCAACAAAAGACACACACACACATCCACCATACGTAAGGAGACCCGGCACTGGCATTCCCGGGGCCTCATCCCGCTGCACTACGAAGGTCACATCCGCGTGCCGGGTGTCTCCGTAGAGTTGGCTGAGCCGCGCGACCACCTCTTCGTGGCCTCGGGGCTCCCGCGGGCTCCCGCGGGGCAGCGCGATTGCGCGACTCAGCTGACGGATTTTTTGTTTGGCAGAAACCCGAGGCCATGTCGTTTTTTGCTTGACAAACAAGTAGCAAACTGTTTTAGTATATTGTGCCTCTCAACATTGCAAGAAACGAACTCCTGCTGGCAACCTATTCAAATCTAATATATGGGCGGGTGTGTTGGATGGTTTTCAGGTTGGCTTCAAGGCAAACCTAAGACTCGTCGTAAGAAACTGGCGGGTTCCATGCCAGCCCAAGACTAAATCATAAAGGAATTTGAACGTGGGCTGCGGGTTTCTTGCGGTGTTCAACACTAAAAGAGAAATGGACTTGACGAGGGAATCTCCGCAAACCCCTGGTTTTGCCTTGTGGTTTCCCTTTAAAAGCAACCCAAACGGGCTCCCTCCAAACAAATGATTTCTAGCAAGTCTGACCATGGGAGCTGAGCAACGCAGTTCGGATGTTTATCGGCTGCCAGGCCACGTGTCAATTCGTTGACGCTTTCACGCAGCTGGCACAAGTGGATTCTGGAAATCTGCGCAGTGCTGGCACAGTTCTAGTGACGATGTTCCGCAACGACGCTTGGATCATGAAGGGAAGGATATGGGGATGACGGCGCCAGCGGCAGCCGGACTCAGCCAAATAGAGTCGCTGGAGCCTCGTCTGAAGCCGCTGGGCAGCCGGACATTGGAAGCTCAGCGCCGACTCCTGCGCCCGTCCAGTTTGCTCGTGCGATGATTCGTTTGGCCGACTCTAGATCCACTAAAGTGACATGAGTATGAATCTTGACCGGTGGACACCGTTTGGACTTATGTCCAACCACTTTGAAGGGATTCCCTATTGAAATTCTTACCCACATCCAAAAACATGGTAAGCCTCTGGCCAGTGTGTCTTTTTTCAGCCAAGGAAGAATCGGCTTGATTTGGCGGGGGGGGGGGCGCAGTCAAGAAATTGATCTTCAGAATCAATCCAGGGTCAGAAAACGTGCGGTGTCCAACTTTGTCCAACTTTGGTCCCCTCAGTAACCCCACAAGGGCACCAACTCCGAAAAAAGGCGTGCCCCAGTGAGTGACAAGATTCTCTACCTTCGCAACATAAAAAGTGCGCACAGGCCGCTTTTGGAAGACATAGCCTGTATTGCAGATGTTGCGTGAACATCCAGTTGACATTGCTTGACTGAGCCGCTCTACGTTTTCCATGCCTCTGGTTTAGTATTCCAACAGTAGAACAAACATGGCAGTTGATCAATATTCCTGTTTCCGGAAAACGCCGTCTTTGCGAGAAAAAAGTTTCTTTCGCGAATCTTTCGCGACTCCATCGCCACGCCCTTTTGTTTGCAGCGTGCGCTCTGGAGCCATTGTGGCTGCTGCAGTTGTGCTTGCAAACACGGTAGCCGCAGTTCGTAGTGTCAAGTGCAGGCAGTCACCCGTCATTCGCCCTTGCCGCTTGCGCTTGCCGGCGGTGTGCGGAGCCTTGCAACAAGCTCCCTGGCCTTTTGCCGGTCTTTCGCGGATCTTTCGCGAAACTTGCTCCAAAATAGCCCAGCCAACGTTATTGATTTGCACCATTCCCAACACAGGCAGGGAATCAATAATGCAAGTGTGGGTGCTGCGTATCTCCCTATCTACAAGGGAGCGGGGTCTGCAAATATGTAAGTGCACAGGCATGCCTCCAAGAATCCAACGCGGAATCTTTCGCCAAAAAATAAGTTTCTTTCGCGAACTCCATCGCCGATCTTTAGACGAATGGTCACCGAACACATAACTCATTGCAAGGACCTTTTGATCAACCCCCACATCTTGGCTGAGACACCGGGCTGTCGCATGGAGCATCGCCCAAAGCCAATCTGTTGGTTCTACTATGTTCTACTTCGATGGTGAACAAAAGTCTAGATGGGCGTCTTTCCGTCAGGTTCACCTCCAACGCCACCAAAAACGTGGGGGGACCATAAAACACAAGAAGCCAGAAAAAGTCTAGATTAGCATTCCCAGTGCTGCCAGTTGCCACCATAGAAGGTACCCATGTAAATTTACCCCTTGGTTTTACATGGTTTCTCCTGGTTACCTGTGGTAGTACCTGGCATCTACTCGGATTGCGACAACCCTTGTGAAAAGTCGGGGACAAGCACCTAGTGAAATGGCAACCCGCCTGCGGTGCAGCGGACCTGAGCAAATCCGATCTGCAAACTTGGATTGCTTTTGTCAGGGTTGTCAGGGCCCCCCCAAGCCGGCCCCCCCCAAAACAGGAACCCCACTGGTGGTGGACCAAATCCTGCACCACTTTGAAACCATGGTTGAAACTATTGTTTGTTGGTGTTTACTGGAGAATCATCATTTCAGGGCTGCTTGGGTGGTGCAGGATTGCGTCCGTCCACAGTATTGGCGCCTAATAAGCCTTTTTAGGCGCTACTTGCTAATTATTAGGCATGGGGGGGGCACTCTTGGGCTTGACAGCCGCAGGATGTCTGTTCACCGTGGGCCAAAACTATTTTAACGACCGAACTCTGGGCCCCCACTGTTGACGGAGCACCAGTTGACCAGTTAGGATAGAAGAAGCCGTAATAAATGGGATAAGCAACTACTAACTGGCGCGAAGCGGATTCTGTGAATTTCCATGGTACGAATCGCAGGCGCGAGTCCACTTGGTAAGAAACGAATCTGTCCAGCCCGAGGCCTTGAGGGACTGATGCTCCTACTAGCAGCTAAAGTCTTTTTCCGCCCCCCCCCATCCATTCTGACATCGTTCAACGAGTTCTCTTCCCAAAGGTGGGGTTTGAAGGGGCATTGTACTTGGTGGATAGTGACCATGGTTATAACCCACAAAAGCCATGGTTATAAGTCTGCGTTCAGTGAATTATCACCCAAGCTTGCTAGCCACTCACTAAGTACCCGATCGCCCCTTTTAAGTGGGAGCTTCGGTTACACCAAGGCCCCCTAAAAAAGAGCAAAACGTCCAACCATTTGTGGAATAGCCGCAAGCCATTCGTTTCCAACATGTCCGGGGCCGGGCCGAGGTCACACCAAGACCATGGTTTACTCCCCTACATGTTCTGCATGTAACCCAAAAACGGGGGGTCCCCCCAAAGGAGATTCCTCTCAAAACGGCGCTTTGGGTTCCACATGAAACTGAATCGCCTCTTGGGCGTGCGCCCCCCAACCCTGGGCTTCGTGCCGCTCGCGCTCGGGGGCGTCCATGGCGATATTGGCAGGCTGAGTTCAAATCGATGGAAACCCGCGGCCGCCTCTGGCTTGGCCATGAGCTCAGCACCAACTCTTGGCTATGGGGTTGTACATTCCTCAGAAGTGGTTTGTGCTTATCACTGAAATTATAAAAGGAAGCTCACGTGAGACTAGACTGGGATTCGCGCGTCGAGATAAAGAGCCCGTGAAAACATGCGGCTCCACATGATCACAAGACGGTGTTTTTGTACAAGCTGAGTTCAAGCTTTCAAGGGCTGACAAAAAAAGACTTTGCGCACGAATCCATTGCTGACATGCTCGAAAGTGGCTGCTCTCAATCATGATAGTTTGGTTTCATGCAGCCTGTTCAACTTGAGCCCTTTGCACACGAGGCAAGGCGGCTTGAGGCTGCCACATCCGTAGGGTACCGAACTCAAGCGGATAGCCATTCACGGTGCCAGAGCGGCACCGACCAAAAACAATTACCAGAGTTTACCGACCTGAAATAGGCTTGAGACAAAATCAGGGAACCCCATGGCCATTCTTTTCTCACAAGGGTTCCTGCCTGAGGGCCCCAAAGCAGGATTGGCCAAGACCCCAGCTGTCGCTGGGAAAAGGGCAGCGACTGTCTGAATGGAAACCTCCGATCCGTTTGCCATCCGTTTGCGAACCGAGAACGGTTTTGAGGCCAAATGGGAAGCTCCTCCTTATTTGGGGTTACTGACCTTGGAGTTTCTGGCTTTGTGAGGCACCAAAGGGTTGGAGATCTGGGCATCCCAATGCCCGCAGGCTGAACTCCAAAGGAACAACTGAGCCACTGATCACATCTGGCTTTCTTTAAAACAACAGAACCGGTAACCCCGGGTCCTTTAGCAGCTGGGGAAAGCCGAAAGGGCGTGAACCTAAGTCCAGCTCAGGATTGACTTGCCTCGAATGTGGCGGAAAAAACCATTCGCTGGTGAACCTCCTGTTGCGATTCTTCACAAGGCCGTTTTGTGACAAGTGACCCGGCTCCTTTTTGATGTGCCCAAAGGGTCAACAGAATCCTCCTTTCCGCAACATCAAACAACAGGGACTTGAGAGTCCGTTGAAAGAAAGCTAGCTGGCCCAACAACGACATGTACGGCCCAGGTTTTTTTTCCAGACACTAAACGAAGAGCACTCTTAGCTCATCCCGAAAGTCATTCAGACCCAAGCTTGGACCAGGTGAGAAAGATTCAGCTGCAAACATGTGGACGAGACTATGTGAATATATGCTTGCGAAAAGGCCAGGGGAAATCGAACCCAGGAGCCCTTCGAGGAAGCTAAAGCTTAGAGAACTCCCACTAGCATTGCTAGCTCTCCCGAAAAAGGCCCGTTGAAAGGAAAGGACTTTCGAAGCAAAGCAAACCGAAACTCTAAATAGAATAGAAGCCTTTGGGGAGCCAATTTGGGGGACAGCCTCTGAACTAGATAGTCGAACTGACCCTGCAAATGTTGATTCACGTTTTTGCTGGGCACTGGGAGAAAGCTAAGCCTTGGATCCCACTCCCGGAACGCTTACCTCCGGCGAGAGATCGTAGAGGTCCTCCCCCAAGACCTCGCAGCACAGAGGGGCGCGATTTGAAGTCGCTGCTTCTACGGCCCAAATATTTCCCTTTGCTCACTTCCTGAGTGGATGGGCCGAAAAAGTGTCAACTATTTTACTTACCACGAAAATGGTCCAAACCCCAAAAGTTTGTGTTGGGGCTCACATGTTTGCCCAAACCCCTCACGTGAATCACAACCCGATGGCGAGTCAAAGGACTAGCAGTTCGGTGGACCTTCAACCGACTTCAAACGCCGTGAAACAAAGACAACCGGCAGCCGTGCTGTAGCAACATAAGGCCAAAGCTAGCTCAGCTTTTGCTCCCCCAACATCATATGTTTGGTTCTCGTCCATACTCAGCGGACCTTGTGAGGGGTGTTGAGTTCAAAAGCGATTCCACTTTATCATCCTGCTCTCTTCCTATTGCTAAACCCCTATCTTGGCTAACATCTGGGGTACATAAAACTAATATGTTGAGATTATGATTAGTATGTCGTCTACTTTTGGATCTAAAATCGTTCTGGAGGCATATTTAGTCTACCCCTTAAAAATCTAAGAGTGTCTTGGAGGAGATTCTGCTTCGCATTTGGATTCTGTCTCATGTTCAGCTTTTACATGAAGTATCACTGGCCCAAAGGCCCGGGAAACGAAAGGCCAACCTTCCACAACCTTGGGCGACAAGTTCACCAGAGCGAGTCCCCTGGTTCTTGGTACAGAGACATGTCAAATTGACCCGGGTTACCATATATTATATACACATGAGCGATATATTTGTGTGATGTGTGATGTGTGTGTGTGTGTGTCAGAAACCACTTGGGTCGACCAATTCGTTGCCGGTGCCGAGCCCCCGCGCCCTGGGAGCAGCGAAGTCCTCCAGGAGCTGGCGCCTCGGGCCTGTCACGTGAGGCAGGGGCTGATGCCTCGTGCGTGGGTACGTGTGGTGACGTCTTCACTTATTTTATTGATTTATTTCAGATGTTTTCTTTTTTTGAATGTATTTATTGATTTAGTTAGTTTCTGTTTAATACATATGTCAAAATACGAGGGTCCAAAAAACACACGCCACCCTCAACATGGCGGGTTCATGCGGGAGGGGGGGGGTGAATTTGGGATGGAGGGAAACATGGGCCAACTTTACACTTGTTTCGTGATGTTGATTTGTTTATTTTTGATTGGAGCGAAAACCTTCCTTGCAGTGAGCAACAATCGGTTGGCATACCAAAGGGGGCAGTGAGCACCAATTCGTCGATTTCCACCAGGAGAAGGGGGCCACAATTAAGATGGGGCTATGTGCTAACTGCTGGCTACTCACTAGAACTCACTTGCCCAAAGGACCTAGAAATAACAAGTTGACCTTTTGGAACTTTGACAAAATATGGACCAACAAGCTTGGGGCAACTGAGATAGGGGACCTATGTTCCCCGAGGACTGCCCCCGGCCTCTCATTCCAAGAAGATAGGAATATGTATCCAAAATAGAGACATCATGCTTTCCCCAGGTTACCAACTATAGCAGTAACCGGAAGCACTGACGGTGTCCTTTTGTAAAAGCAAATCCTAACCCGGTGGTGCGTCCAAAAAGATGGTTGCCTGGAGTCATAGCATAACCCCCTCCCCCCGTCCCGCAACTCCAACCCCGTTCCCCAAAATATTCTAGGTCCTCCAGTAGGGGAACTCTCCCCAAAAAAAGGGTGAAAGGGCACGACTGGGGGACCTAGCATTTAAGACCTGAATGCGGCCTTAATAAGGCCGAGCCAGGGTTGGATCCTGCGACGGAGACATGAGCAACCACTTTTTCGCAGCCCCCTACAACTCCGGGTGTCAAAGAAGGCGGGCTGCAAAAACGGCGGCCACCATCCCCTATGTTGATTTCCTTTAGGCAAACAGGCCTAAATCATTTAATTGGGTTTGTGGGTGCTTTAGATTATAGACAAACTCCTGCACCGGTTGGGATGGAAGCAAGCCCTGTAATCAATGAGATAATGTACCTACCAACTGGTGAGAAGCGTAATTTGCCCATCCATGCGCAAATTCCATAGCCAGTCAGGCGTTTTGCCCGGAAATCGAATGGAACAACAAGCGAAGTTATGATGCCCTGATGGTATGAATGGAGAGCAACTCAGAGACCAGAAGCCCCCTGAGGGTGTACTCCTAGACCTACACATAGTTGATCCAAGGGGGATGGTCTCCGAGGAAAATGGGCCACCATGCGAGGCATAAACTAGTATACACTCAAGGATGCACGATGCGTGGCCAGTCCGGAACATCCAGGCAAACAACCCAAGAAATGCGTCAAAACTACCAGAACGCCTCCACATGCTATGCTTCATATTTAATATTGGTTGCTCTGATCATCCAAACGACTTCCACGTTCCACCTGCGACCCTGGCATGTGTTTAAGGTCTGTGTATCTGTGCTAACTTAGTGGCACTCATGAGGTTCGCTTCCTATGGGGGCTCCTGCCAAGCTGGAAGGGCCAATGAAGAACAATGCAACGAGTTTTCAGCTCACAGCAAGCTTCGGGGACGGGACACCCCGGAGAACAAAGACCGGCGGTCAAACCCGGCGGTCAAACCCGCGCCTGTGAAGTTGCGCTCCCAAACGTAGAAGGGCCAATCTACCTGAACCAAGGTATGGCACCAGTACCACTGGTTTGCGACACCGACATCACCACGAGTACGAAAAATACGACGACTACTACGGCTGCTTTGTACAGGTCAGCAGAAAACTCATCTTTGGGCCAGAATCTTTGGGTTGCCAATTACCACAGGGAGCACAAAATTCAGAGATGTATGTAAACATGTAAGCAACAACTGCAACGCCAGGGGCCCTGGGTCCCTATGCTTCCCTTGGTGGTTTTGAACATCACCCGTTGCTGGTTTGTAAGATGAGTATCCTTGTTGCCTTTGGTACTGACGTTTAAAGGGGAACTGGGTGTGTCTCTTTTTGGGGGCCTTGGCCGTTTCTCAAGGGACCAAGCGGAGACCAACTTTCTCCTGGGTTCCCTGTCGCATTTCGCTGCTGGAAGCAAGAAACACATCGCTGCAAAAACCAAGTAAGGGAAACCCATTTCGCAGCCAAGACCAAGGGGGAATATACCCTTCTTTCTCAACTGGAAGGAACATTCTGAGTTCACGAAGTTTGGGCATCGTGCCTGTGGAAAATGCGGGGCTTTCTGCAACTCCGGAAAGGGGCACGTCGACGCATTATTTTACCGGGGACCGTCTTCGTAAAAAAACAAAAACAAGGAAGCGGGCCAAACCGTCTGGGCATGCTCCGGAAAGAACGGGACTCCACGTTGCTTCCAAGGCAAGGGAAGCCACCCAATAGGGCTCCCATGCCTCGGCAACGGAGCAAACATAGACCCGATGCAAGGCTCAGAGGAAAAGCCGCGGCCAAGGATTCGTCGATCTCATGCAACGCTTCAACAGGCTTAGCGCCACATGTGA